ACCTACCTACGCCTGGCCAGGCAAGGCAGGGCCAGGCGCCAGGCCAGGCCAGGCCAGGCAGGGCAGGGCAGGGCAGGGCAGGGCAGGGCAGGGCAGGGCAGGGCAGGGCAGGGCAGGCCAGGCCAGGCCAGGCCAGGCCAGGCCAGGCCAGGCCAGGCCAGGCCAGGCGGGCAGGGCAGCGCAGGGCAGGGCAGCGCAGGGCAGGGCAGGGGGCAGGGGTCAGGGGGGCAGGAGGGCAGGGGGCAGGGGGCAGGGGGCAGGGGCAGGGGGCAGTCCACCATTTTTGGTGGGGAAAGGCTCCAGGACCTTGCGGTGTGATTTAATTCAAGGTATTCGCTGGGCGATGGGAAGCCCTTGACAGCCCAGATCGAGCTGTTTCGAACGTTCTCCAAAAGCTCCACCCACTGTTTGCCCCCGTCAGTGTGGGAGTAAAGGGTGCCGGGCATCTTGGAACAGCCCAAGCACCCAGAAACTTTGGGTTTGGGGTCTAAAGGTTAGGGTTTAAGGTTTAGGGTGAAGGGGCTAGGGTTCAGGGCTGGGCTATGAGATGGGAGCCGGAAAACTTCATACCTCAACCTGGAAGCTGCAAAGCACCGGACCCAATCGGGGACCGAGTATATGTAATATGTAATAATATATATATATATATATGTATGTATGTATAGATAATGCACAGTGTATAAAAAATACACAATATACAATACATACTATAGATCACAGCATCGGTAACACATCATGCACATGACACATAAAATGGAAAAACTGGCATGAAGGGCTGTCGAGCTGCGAGTCACTCTCCATGGCTCTGCCTTCGACTTTGATGCCGTGAGGGCCACGAGCGCAAATGCTGCGAAAGGACGCGCGCGAATCGCAGGGCAGCAGTGGGGTGGAGTTTCAGGGTTTAGGGTGCTAGAGTGTAGGGTTTAGGGAGTTAGGGTTTGGGGCTTAGGGGTTCAGGAGTGAGGGTGAGGGGTGCTTAGGGTTTAGGAACTATACTGTTAAGGAATTTTGGGTTTTAGGGTTTAGGGTTTGGGGTTTTGGGTTTAGGGTCTAGAGAGCTTCCGGGCCTTGACATTGCAGCTGCGAAGGTCTCTTGTAAACACACTAGCCCTTATATTGTAGTATATTCATTAAGGAATATACTAACGTAGTTATTCAGGCTTGTAATGTCTTGTATATTGACCCTAAACCCGCAACCCTAAGCCATCTTTCTCTGACTGTTGGCCCCAAGTGCCGGCCCCTCTGCCTGATTTGGGGTTTAAGGAGTAGGGTTTAGGGTTTGGGGTTTAGGGTTTTGGGTTGGGGTTACGGTTCAGGGGTTAACAACACAGACTTCTTCCAAGAATCCTCCACGAGTCCGAAACCGAATAACCTCTCTTTGCGATAAATGCATAGCAAAAAGTTGGGTTGAAATCCTAAACCTGATAAACCAAATCCTATACCCTGGACCATATAAACCCTGAATCCTAAAACCTAGACCTTCTCTTTCAACCCGAAACCCCGAAACCATCGGATCGGTTCTGAGGGTAATTCCACGGTGTAGGGATCTAGGGTTGAGAATTTAGGGTTTAGGGTTTCCCAAATCCCCAGAGCCCGTAGATCATGAGACCCTACACCCTACAAGCCCTAAGTCGAAGCCTAAGCTCTTAAACCTCTAAACCCTAAACGCCGACCCCTTCCCAACGACGGACCTGTGGGAGGTCGCCCGTCGGCGAAGGCGAGGATGGTGAGAGGGTCCGCTCGTGAAGAGGCTTCTCCTGAGCCGCAAATTGATGAAAAAAGTACATACCTACGGGTTTAGGGGTTTGAAAGCGGGGATACCAGGGGGCGTAGGTGCAGACGGACTTTTCTAATAGCACACTGAGCTTGGTCTCAAGACGTCTACAGACAGAGATACATTTGCACTCAAACAAAGGCATGTGTGATTTCACAAGCATGCTAATTCAAGTACTACATACAGGTACCATAGAAGAGGAACGTCAACACGTCACACAGAATAGGGCAGGATTTCTCACCCGTCTTATCTGTAGTGTGACGTTCTGGCGACGTAAAAACATGCACGAATTGACCGGTATTCGATCGATTCTACCTCCGCCTAACGAGCGCCCAACGAGCGTGTCTGTCTGTGTCTGTCTGTGTGCCATATGTCTGTGTGTGTCTGTGTGTGTGTGTGTGTGTGCATGTGTGTGTGTGTGCAGGGAGGAGCGAGGAGGGAAGAGCGAGGAGGAAGGAGGGAGGAGGAGGGAGAAGGAGGAGGAGGAGGAGGAAAAGGAGGAGGAGGCGGGACAGCTCCAAAAAGTAAGAACCCCAAACAATGATGTGGGGAATAAGTCACCAAGTGAGACACTACAGTCCGCTGCCCTATCTGGCTCCACTACCATTTTGAAAGCGGGGATACCAGGGGGCGTAGGTGCAGACGGACTTTTCTAATAGCACACTGAGCTTGGTCTCAAGACGTCTAAAGACAGAGATACATTTGCACTCAAACAAAGGCATGTGTGATTTCACAAGCATGCTAATTCAAGTACTACATACAGGTACCATAGAAGAGGAACGTCAACACGGTCACACAGAATAGAGCAGGATTTCTCAAGGGGTTTCGGGCTTAGGGTTCAGGGTTTAGGGTTTAAGGCTTAGGATTTAGGGGTGAGGGTGTAGGGTTTAGGGCTTAGCTGACAAAGGATGAGAATGGATGTGGAGCTTGGGTTTAGCATTGAGGGTTCGGGGCTGAGTCTTGACATGATGCAACTGACTGATTTAGATATCTGGCTGCATGTAGTTGTTCGTGTGTGCACAAGCAGCAAAATTTTAAAAGACTGTGGTAAGGTCTGACACTAGTAGTTCTCATCACCAACATCATCATCATCCTCATCATCCTGACCGTCACCATGATGGAAAAGCATGGCTTTTCCAAACTGACCACGAATGCCTCTTTGCAAAACTGCTGATGACTATGGTAATATGTGAACAGGACCTCGGGAAAACATACTAATAAGAATAAGAATCATTCACTCATAGCAACACTAGTGACAGCAAAACCGTAGGATGTAACAGTCTTCTTAGTGGCGATAACAAACGGGTGGTCAAGAAAGAACAATCAACACAACAACAACGACAATTATGATAGCGACAATACGCCAAAAAAAAAGTCACGACATCAGTAAACACAAACGGCATCGCTCAGAATCATGACCCAAGGTGAAACGGAGCTAAGGGCTCCGGGTTTGAGCTGATTTTGAGCTATGGCAACGGTCATTTGAAAACCATGGACCAGAAATAGAGGCTTCACGCGTGTACCAGACTACAAATGGGATAAAGAATCCAAGGAATCCTGATACTCGTCTTTCCGAACCCATGATACTTCCTCCAGAAATATGGAGATACAGGCGAAGTGACGCCAACATAGAATTCGGGATGTTTCTGGTTACGGATTCATCCGCTTGGCTGCTTCCCATTCAGAGGACGACTCAGAAATTCTGACACTAACTAGTATCAGGCTTTGTTTTTTTACTCTATACCTATACAGGGACTCGGGATATTACTATTTATTATTCCGAAGCCTACAGCACTCTCCACCGAAGCAAGGGCTCTCTAGTCGATAAACACTCACACCTTCTTTACCAACATACAAGATTGGGTTGTAGTTTTGGCGCCCCTCAAAGTATTGATGAACAGGTGCCTCTGTAGGAACCATAAGGGAAATGTTTGCAAGTTTCCCAAAGTGCCACCTAGAAGGCCCACGTTCAACGGACTGAACAGCTGGCAAGCTCAACCAAGATCTCGGAGACAGCGACTCGAAAGGGTTTAGGGTTTAGGGCTTTGGGGTTAGGGTTTAAGGCTTATGGTTTACAGCACAGCTACCGGCATTTTTGCTGAAGGTCTCATCCAAAAGCTCACAGAGGCGCGTGAGCTCGACACCCGCCGTCCGGAAGTCGCGAAGTGCAATCCGTGCCTCCTCTCGCCTTTCCTTCGGAAGTTCAACCATTTTCTGGGCCATCTGCCCTGCATCACGGACTTTCTCAAAGCGGCCGCAGACGGCACCGACATACGTTTCCGCAAAGACGCGGTTGGCTGGGATTCCCAAAGATGCCATGCGGCCACGGAGTTCGGAAATCTGCTGTAAGGGAGCCGCGCGGTGGGCTCCAACAAGGTTGGAAAAGGTCACGACCGTCGGCTCTAGACTTCGCGCTAACATGGTCTCGAAGAGGAACATGGCGGCCTCGTGACGACGACGGTGATCCGCATTCTTGCAAGCATTTAGAGCAGAGTTGAAGTTGATGATATTAGCCTCCAGGCTGCGCCTCTCCATGTCATCAAGCACTGCCACCGCCTCAGTCATGTTCCCCATCTCAGAAGCCGCATCAACACGAGCACCTGCAATGATCTTGTTCACCAGGCCCCTCTCCTCTGCCTCCCGCCAGATCTCAAGCACGCGCCCTTGGTCAAGCAGCTTTCCATAAGTCTTTATTCCCAGGTGTAGCGTCGCGGCATCTACCTTTGCCTGCGAATCGCTCCGCAGCCCGTCGTACATGCGTGAGGCTTCTTTGAAGTGGCCAGACCTGTGAGCTGCTTGCATGGCAGCGGAATAGACCGGCACGGCCTGCCCTGAGTAGCCACGCCAAAGTCGCATCACTTGAATCCAATCACCTCTCTTCCCTGCCTCCACCAAGCTTGTTATCAGCTTCTTTTCGTCTGTCGTGATGTCTTTCAATGGCTCAGTCTGTCGTATTGGGGCACTGGCACTGGACCCCTCACGCTCACGGAATGCTCCAATCGCTTGCCTGGGCAATGAAAAGCCGACATCAAACAGCCAAAAAGCAAACTGCGCCATCATACCCACCAGGAGCACAGGCCCGCGCCAAACCGTCTTGGAGGGTGCCACCATGCTGCCACGCCGCTGTTGCACTTCTTCTTCTTCTTCGGTGGCGACGGAATATTTCCGGCAAAAAGGGCTGAGCTGATGTGCAGGCGATCTATAAGGCGGGGCGGTAGTCTCTCAAGAATGGTACTTGGGGGGCTCTTTTTTACTTAGCAAATTGGGTTCGGGGCACGGCTTAGGGATGCACCATGAGGAATGCGAAACCTCTTGCCTGCAGGAGGCTATGAAGCAGATGCTGGAGGGCACGCGCAATAAGTAGAGTTGCTGCATTGCCCTGAATCCCTTGACCAGAATTCGTCACCAAAGCCGTATGTCGACTCAGCCAGCCGAGACACTCCCGGTGTCGTCGAGCGAACAAACCTGAGCAGGGGAGGTTGACGTATGGAGTTTGATGGAATCTAACACTGTACGGTTACGAAGACCGCCTGAGCCGAATGAATACCAGTGCTACCACTAGCAGTATGTGATTCACAACACATAGGGCCACGAGCTCTCGCGCCGGATGGGACCTGGAAGACCCGAGGACGGTTTATCTGCAACCCAATGTGCCTCAAGTCGGAGGCCTGACCTTTCTTGCAAGGATGCATGCCTTGCTGGGGAGTGCGTGTCCATGCCGGTCGCGAGTGGGACGTTGACATGCTTGCAGTGCTTACATAAATACCCTGCATCAAGGCTTGTCCTCTTCTTGTTTCACAACTTCTGGAGGAAGGCTGGAAGGAACTAAACGAAGAAGCTGAAGCTGACAAAAAGGCAAAACAAATCCGACAGTCTACACGAGCTTGGCCGCGACAAGCTCAGCGCCCGACCCGTGCCCGCCGGGTGTGGAAGTGAGGCCGTCTCCGCCCTGATCAGCTGTTGTGATCGCGGTCGGAGCTCTGGTTCCAGATTTGCTGCAGTCAGCTCAAGGGCGCGGCTTAGGGTCAAGGGCTGCACGCAGCAGGTATACAGTCTAGGTTTTAGGGTTTAGGATTAAAGGTATCCGTGTTCCACAGAAGCCATACTGACAGCCGATCGTTTGCTTCGCATTTATCGTGATAATCATTTCACGACGTCAGTCTCCGACGCGAGGCGAGTGGGACGAGAACTAGGATTCAAGCTCGTCGAATCGAAACATTGCTGTTGCCATTGCCATGTCTACTCCTAATGCTTCTGCATTCGTTATCACTACTTCTTCTGATCGTAATTCCGATATCGACTCCATGGCTACTCTCTTGCTATCGAAACTAATAACAACTATCGCTTGGTGGTGATGGTGGTGCTAGTGGTGGCCATTGTAGTAGCAGTAGTTGTTGTTGTGATGGTAGCGGCAGTGGCGCTGGCAGTGGTAGTGGTAGTGGTGGTGGTAGTGGCAGCAGCAGCAGCAGCAGCAGCAGCAGCCGCCGCAGCAGGAGCAGGAGCAGGAGTAGGAGTAGGAGTAGGAGTAGGAGTAGGAGTAGGAGTAGGAGTAGGAGTAGGAGTAGGAATACGAGTAGGAGTAGGAGTAGGAGTAGGAGTAGGAGTAGGAGTAGGGGT